AAGCTGTGATCTGTATAACAGCTGGAGTTTGCTATGACCGTTCCTACGAAGCACCAAGCAGCAGGATAAAAATCAAGCAGTCCAAGCAGATGAACTCCAAGACTGTATCTTCTGATAAAAGAACTGGAAGAGTCTCCAGATTCTCCAGTTAATCCTGCTTTGTCACCCATTTACTTCAGGCTGACTCATCCTGGTAAAGCCACCACCGCATCCATCTCTCACGGCCTCCTCTCACCTTTTCCAACCAAAGCTACTTTCAACATTAGTCTTTTTGACAGAGGAAAATGCAGAGATTCTTATGCCCAGACCTAAACTTCAGCCTGAGGTCAAGCTGAGTTACAAACACTCACTTTGGGGGGGGTGGGGGGGCGGAGGAAGGGAAGGAAAATAGCTAAGCTCACATCTAGGAAAGAAAGTGCAATAAACCTCAAAGAAGAGAGGTGAAAGAACAGAATCAAATTCTCCAGGGATCTGTCTGGTGCTGGAGATGAAATTTCAAAAATTATAAAAATGTCATAGAAAGGGAGAGAAAAAAAAAATGAATGAGTCAAAGAAAATAATCCTAATCAATCCATTGTTGTTGTTAGCTGCGATGGAGCAAACCTCAGACTCCTGGCAACTCCACGCACAATGCAACAAAGCACTACTCATTCCTTCACCTTCCCCACGACCAGCTGCAGATCGGACTATTGTGATCCATATAGGTTTTCATTGGCTGATCTTTGGAAGTGGACTGTCAGGCCTTTCCTTCCTAGTCTGTTTTAGTCTGGGAACGCCACTGAACTCTGTTCACAGTCATGACAACACACAAGCTCCACCGACAGACTGGTAGTGGTTGCACATAAAGAACATTAACAGGAAATCAAACCCAGGTCCCCTGCGCGGCCGGCGAGAATCCTACCACTGAACCAGTGCTGTCAGGTGGATTTTAACTCCTAGTTACTCGTGTGACAGCATCGAACTGCTTCATGGGGTTTTCTAGGCTGTGATCTTTACAGGAGCTGATTACCAGGTTCTTCCCCTCAGAGAGCCAGCAGGTAGGTTCAAACCAACAAACTCAGTTGGCAGCTGAGCATTTAACTTTTGTGTCATTAAGGCTCCTTATGCCCCAATTAAAAACCAAACTCACTGCTATTGAGTCGGATCTGACTCATAGCAACCCATCCTTGGGTTTCGAGGCGGTGTCACTAGGGAAGTAGATTGCCCAACCTTCCTTCCGAGGAGTGGCTGGTGAGTTTGAACGCTAGCCTTCTGGTTAGCAGTCAAATGCCTTAGGCATTAGGCCACAAGAGCTCCCATGTGCCAATTATTCAATTTAAAAGAATTCAATTCATTGGGCATTCACAATTCAGAATAAAGTAACATTGGTGTTCTGTGTTCATTTAAAGAAATGGAAAGAAGAATGAGTAATGTTAAGAGTGTAAATAATACACACAGCAAGTGGCAACATGTCAAGCTCTGGCATCCAGGAAGCTAGAAGGTTAATTAATATCAATCTGAATTTTAAAAGTATAGCGAACTTACTCATTTTAATTGCCTGTAATCTGAGGCCAAAACTTTTGGCATGCTTCCTTGTTCATAGCAACAACATGACCACCAAGTATTTACTGAGCACTGACCACGTGCCAGATACTGTTGTGAGCACTGGAGACGACATGGTGTAGAAGGTGACAGATGAGCCCTGTCCTTATAGGGGTTACGTCTGTCACAACAAGGAATGATTAACACAGTTGGACAAGTGAACAAACCACGACTAATTTTCTGGTACAAAGAATTATTCCTTATGAGGCAAAGCTTCCTTGCTGAATTAGCAATTTTACAAAGTGACTTGAATTGTTTCCATTAAGAGAAACACATTTTTATTGTGAGTTTAACACATTTGGGAGAGCAAGACAAATCCCATGTAAAGGAAGAGCTGATGTCCTGACTCTTTGAACCCTGCCCATCCAGGAAACGTAACACTGCATCTTTGGCTTTCCTGTAATACTACATATTTATAGAAAGCTCTGCGGACTTTGGCAGCAAAATGATTAAGTAAATAAAGTCTATTTTTGCTTTTCTCTTGTCAAGTAGTCCATTTTCTATCCCTTGCACCCCTCTCCCCTGTCCTATTTTGAGATTTTTTTTTTTCAATTCTTCACTAATCTATTTTAATTTACTAGATGCATTGTTGTTGTTGTTACTATTGCCATCGAGTCAGATCCGACTCATAGCGACTCCTCCTTGGGCTTCCGAGGCAGTATCACTATGGAAGTAGATTGCCCAACCTCCTTTCCGAGGAGTGACTGGTGGGTTTGAACCGCCAGCCTTCTGGTTAGCAGTCAAGTGCCTTAGGCACTATGCTACCAGAGCCCCTACTAGAGGCATTAGTGTAGAAAAAAAAAAAAAATTCACTGTCGTTGAGTGGAACCTGACTCATAGCAGCCCCTCCTTGAGTTTCCAAGTCAGTATCACTACGGAAATAGATTGCCCAACCTTCCTTCCCAGGAGCGGCTGGTGGGTTTGAACCACCAGCTTTCTGGTTAGCAGTCAAATGCCTTAGGCACTATACCACCAGAGCTCCTTATTAGCGACCAAGTAAAATTTGATTTTCCTCACTCTGTATCTCTTATCCCTAAAAGTTCCTTTCCTTCTTCTCCATTCTTCTTTGGTCCCTAACTCTCTTTCCACTCCACCGTCATTCTCTTTCTCACCACTTCCCTCCCATTTCCCTCCATCTATTCTGGGTAAAAAGAATGAATGATCACTAGCTATAGGAATAGGTGGAGTGGCATGAGTAAGACAAAGGAGCTGTGTGCACAATTAAGTCCCTGTCATTAAGCATTTGTCCCCTTGGGTTTAATAAATTTCCTTCTCCAGAATTAAGGTTACCATAGACATAATAACACTTAGGAGATTGTGAAATAAAGTTTTAAACATTTTCTTGGTGTCTGAAGATATTCTTTCAAAATATTGTTTTGTTTTTCTATATATTAAAGAATTTACAGGAGAGAAAGACAGAGGGAGAAAGAATTGGCCTTCTGGCTCTCACCAGGTACCATTTTCAGATGTTTCTTTAAGTCACAAGTCTATACCTTCCTAATTGCCTTCTTGCTGTATTCCTGGAGCCCCTCACTTCATTATCTCCCAGCCTGGCTCCTTGCAGGGATATTAGGAATATGACAGCTAGGAGGGACAGGAAAATCCCAGGTTTGGACTCAGTCAGATTGAACTGTTGAAGCCCAATTTTATGCCTTATTTATTAGTCCATTGACCTTAAGCAAGTTACTTAATTCCATTAACTGTTTTCTTATCTGTAAAATGGGGCTAATAAAACCAACCCCACTGTACTGTTATAAGCATTTAATGAGTTAATGCACAAATGTATTAGTCATACTATGTGGCACATAGCTATTATTTAATAAATAGTTCACATACATGTATAGACATATATACACCCCATGTGTCCATCTTTTCCTCAAAACTACATAATTTACCTCTCTGCCTTCAATGCCATTCTCACAGAGCTCTGTCCCTGGAAGCATTCACATTCTTCCTAATTCATAGTTAGCTAATATGTGATTCTAATCACTGAAAATGTGCTAATGAGAAAGGGTAAGAGAAGAGGACAGTGACTACTGCCTGCCAACTTAAATAGCCCTCAGTGGTAAAATATGGCTCTTGGAAACAAACCTGTACTAAAGATTGCATAGGCCAGAGCAGTGACTCACAGTGTGAATTGTAAGCAGCAGCATCTGGGAATTTACTGCAGTAGCTCTCAGTAACTGTGGCTGCTTCTGTCACCAATGCAATACCTAAGCCAACACTAATTTTTAAAAAATAATAAAACCTAAATGGATATTGCGTCCTTTTTCCACTATGAACTAAAGTCTGTGTACAGATATTATTTAATTTGTCCCATAACACTACAAAAGAAATATAACTTCTAGGCCTTAAGACGGTAAAATGCCCATCTAGTGTCTGTGATAGAGCAATAGTAGAACATTCTCTTCTCAGGCCGATAAATACATCTAGATCATACCATGGACGGGAAGTCCTCCTCCTCATAAAACCCCATGCAAAAGATCTAAAACTTGAGAATCAGGCCATGGTAACAAAGTCCCATGCATTGCCGCACTATCAGGAAAGACTCTCCTAAGTAATAGACTAGTGCCCGGCCATGCAAGTCAGGCACTTAGTCATTTTTCTAGGTGCTATCCATCATTGAGCATATTCCTGAATTTCATGCAACCAAATTTAAGCATCTGAGTATTCTTGATCAGAATAAACATTCAATCTAAGCAAAAGTTTGACAACTCTGACACCTAGTGGATGTAAAGAAACTGGAGAAAATGCAGCACAAGAAAAAGAGTATGTTGCAAACACATAGAATTGAATGATTATGAATATCAGGTTTATATAGTATTAATTCTAAAAGCAATCCTATAAAAATCTGTTTGGGTTCTGGATTTAGCTTGGAGTCTATACAGGGAGGTAAAAAGACTTGCATTTGTAAGATATATTTTCCTTCAACTTTCCACATTTAGCAAATTTTTTCTAATTTTCAAAGATCATACAAGAAAACCAATCAGTTCACATTGTGGCATTTTATCTTGACTCTTTTCCTTAATTTTTTTATATGCATCCAAATCCTTTTTTCCCCCTCTGGTGTCCCCCTGTCAAATATAAAAGCCATCTGGGCAAGTCATCCTAGACGATCCGTTTCAACCATTGAGGTGTCCTACTCAAAAAGGTAGCTGGACCTTCACATCAGCAGGAGCTTTCTTTAAGAGAGACTTAAGGAAGCACGTGGAAACTCTAAAGAGCACATCTGAAACAAAGACCACGCTGAACACTACCAGAAACCACATGAACACAGCAGCAGGTCAGCACAGCACAACCTATTTCTGCCCTAACCATTAGAAGGCAAGGCTTCTCAGATCCACCTGAACCTCCGACAGGCAAGGCCGGGGAAGCCCAAAGTGTTCATCTCCTCCACCAAGGGAAGCTATGACTCCTACCTGCTGACGTTTGAAGGCTAAATAATCAAGATTTTCCAGTTCCTTCCCAAGCTTCTGGTAGGTCTTCTGGAGGTCAGGTTTGTTGGAAACATTTTTAAGAGACTCAAATGTCCTTTGAAACTGAAATTAAAAACAAAAGCAGATCATCAGGACAACAGCATAGATTTCTCAAATTCCCAGCTAGCTATACACAGAAATAATTGATACTGTGCCTCAGTTTCTCCCCCTATAATACAAAGATAATAAATGCTAGCTAATTTCCTTTCATGAAATAATTAGGTACCATTATAAAGAATTAGCAACTGCATCTTAAATACATTACAACATTATTATATGAATGAGAAGCACAGTTAGTCCTCATTCCAATAAACATACTTCATTTTTCAAAAATACCTTCATGTTTTAGGACACACTGCTGCTCTTAAAGAAAAATATATATATAATGAAAATGTAATTTCATATCATAATGAAAAAACACTAAGAGAGCCCTCATATTCCAATTATGGAAACAACCAAATTTAGGGGGGAAAAATATGACTGTTTGTATGTTATTTGCTATAATGGTGTGAGATATGGCTTGCCCCTGTAGAAATACCCATACAGAATAGGTGAGCCTGCCAACTCCAGTCAGGAAGATCTCTCAGATCTCATATATTGAGAAGGATGGAAAAGTAGCCTTATGATGATTAAACTCTATGTGGCATGTTCAGCAAACATTTCTCCATTTCTTCCCTATAATACAGATGAATTATGAAATTGATTCTGCTGAATCAAAATGTTCTTATTTGTTTTTAAGTCAGATACTAGATAAATGCAAAGAAGATAAAATGCAGTGTTTCATAAAATATTGTTCTGCTACCAATAATTAATTAAGCAGGGAAGCAAACAAGAAATTGAATTCTTGGATTATTTTAGTGAATTAGAATATACTTGACAGGGTTAAGTGATTGAAAATGTCAAGTCATGTCATTTGCAAGATATTTGCATTTGCTCTCTTTATGTCCCTTGTTTCCCATATTCTCACTGGGCCATTAGGTAGATTTCCATGGATAAAGACCTTCACTTAAACATACCAGATTTCCACTGTGACTATGATGCTAGGAGACAGGCTAATAAGATTTTATAGAAGATAATTAAGTTTCCAGGGAAATGATTTGACCCTTACTCTATCAAACTCTATGCAATAAGTCATATTATAATAGCATTCTAGTATATTAAATCCTCAATTTCATGAAAGCAACATGTTTCTCTCAATCCAAGGTGACAGAGGAAAAAGAAATGGGAAGCAATAATGCTAAGCTTTCACAGCATGACAGTAAATTAAATCTGACAAATAATGCTTTAGTACCTACCGTGCACAAGGCGAAGGAGTACTGGTGAAACAGTGGTTGAAGCATTCGGCTGCTAACCAAAAAGGTCAGCAGTTCGAATCCACCAGGACTCTACAGAAGAAGGATGAGGCAGTCTGCTTCCATAAAGATTTATAGCCTCGGAAATCCTATGGCAAAGTGCTACCTTACTGTGGTTGGAACTGACTTGATGGAAGTGGGTTTGGTTTTGTGGTTTGGTGCACAAGGCGAGGAGTCTCTAGGTCATGCAAACAGTTAAGCATTTAGCTACTAACTGAAAGGTTGGTAGGACAAACCCACCCAGAGTGCCTCTGAAGAAACATCTAGGGATCTGCTTCTGAAACGTCACAGCCATAAAAACCTCTGGAGTAAAGTTCTACTCTGCAACACAAGGGGTCATCATGGGTTGGGAACAAATTATATCCATGTTGTTGTTGCTGTTGTTATGTGCCGTCGAGTCAGCCCCAACTCATAGCGACCCCTCCTTGGGTTTCCAAGGCAGTATCACTACGGAAGCAGATTGCCCCATTTTCCTTCCAAGGAGTGACTGGTGGGTTTGAACCGCCATATTCCCTGCCCTAAAAGAATTTACAGTCTATTTGGGAAACTAAACATAGAATTTAGGAATGGGAAGGATGCTGACTTTATTGAGTACCTACTTGGTGCCAGGTACTTTATGCTTTCTAACGTAATACTCACAAAAATCATGTGAGTTCCTGTTTCTCTTCTTATTCTATGGTGAGGAATCTAGGGCTCAAAAAGTCGATTGAACAAGGATTTCAACCCAAGTCTGTATGACTGAAACATTCATGCTCTTTATACTCTATCATTAACTCTAAGTCATGCAATGGGTTTAAAAAAAGTTTGAAAATGGGAGAAAAGTATTATTCAGTAAAAAAAAACACAAAGAAGCCATTAATAATGAGGGACTTAAGCCAAACAGAAGACATGAGGGAATCTGAGTTGGGTGTCAAAAGGCAAGAAGAATTTTCAGAGCTTTAAATGGAAACCAATTCTACCCAACAGCTTAAACATAAGCCAAACTCTGCTCATTTTCCTCCTGGCACATAGGAACAAGTTTCTTTCAACATAACTTTATTGACCTTTATGTTATTTACCATGCTGTATGTTTATTCCTGTGCTAAACCCATTTTTTGGTCCCTTTCTACTGTGTTCAAAGCAAAAAAAGGAGAACAAATTTTTTTTTTAAAAAAAGACCAAACTTACTGGTCTGAAAGAGACGAAGAACTCCCAAGACTATCCCCTAAGGACAACTTTCTACCTTCAAACTGAAGTCACTCCCAGAGGCCACCTTTCAGCCAATTAATAGAAAGATCTATAAAATAAACAGTAACACCTAGGAAGAATGTGCTCCTTAGAACAATCAATTATATGAGATCTCAAGGGCAACATTTAGCCAAAACCAAACATGAAATGGTCAGGAGAGATAAGGAAACCAGATAAATGGAAATGGGAAACTCAGGGAGGAAAGGGGGAGAGTGCTGAGACATTGCAGGGACTGCAACCAAAGTCACGGAATAATTGGTGTAGGAATTATTGATTGGAAAACTAATTTGTTATGTAAACTTTCACCTAAAGCACAATAAAATGGTCCCCCCCAAAAAAATAAAGGATACTTGTTGTTGTTGTTATGTGCTGTTGAGTCAGACCCAACTCACAGCGACCTCTCCTTGGGTTTCCAAGGTGGTATCACTTCGGAAGTAGATTGCCCCATCTTCCTTCTGAAGAGTGGCTGGTGGGTTTGAACCGCCAGCCTTCTGGTTAGCAGTCAAGTGCCTTAGGCACTACACTACCAGAGCTCCTCTAAAGGATACTAAGATATGTAAATACCTTCATACCTCTAATTTATTCATCATCCTAGACTTATCCACTGCCAAATTTCCCAATTTTTTTGTTTTACGGTTTTTCAAATAATTGTACAAACAAATGTAAAATAGCCACTGAAACTCCAGCTACATGTGAAAAGTATTACATACAATGAAAGCTTATAATGGGATTCCATCGAGGTAGGAAGATCAGAATCTAACTCTAAAACCTAAGTCAGTCATATCACTTTTCTTCTTAAAACCAGAGTTTGAGCTGATTCTCCCTGGTTCTGTTGTGGTTGATGAAGCAACACCAGAACAGACCCAAACTTTTGAGATGTGGATAAACTAGAGTGCTGACCAGAATGGGAAAGATTACAGGTAGAAGCCCTCCTAGAAACTTCATCTCCCTCTTAGAAACAACGGCAGTGTGCCTGTTGCACAGTAACCAGATCTCGATAGGCTGAGTCAAAAACAGCAGTGCCAACTCAAAGGTGGCAGCCACCCACACGGCTTTCAACATGTATTGCATTCCAGTCCTGGTAATAGCCAATGTCATGCATCAGGCTCCTGAAGGGACTCACTACACTTCTGAGTTTTCCATTCCAGGGCTTTGACCAGTGGTTTTTCCCAGTCCGGTTCTCATTCTGGATCACCCAGATTTTAAAAGTTCAGGTCTGTTCCAGTTCCACTTGGTTCAAACCAGTTCAAAGTCTTATTTAAAACCCGTTGATCACTTCCCATCCCTTCAGAATAAAATCCAAAGTTCTAGACATGGCTCAGAGGACTTTATGACATGGCCTCTCCCATCTCACTTCCTCTGGCTCACTATACCCCAGCACAGCAGCCTCTTTACTTTTGTTCACATAAACCAGGCTGGCAGTAAACACCATGGGACCTAATACCATTCCTCCTGGCAGGAGCAATCTTCCTGTTATCTCTGTGGCTCACTCTCCTTCCTTTTTGGTCTCTTCTCAAATATTATCTCCTTAAAGAAGCCCTCTCTGGCCCTCCTCAACCTTGTTATCTAAAATAACATTCTTATCAATGTATACCTCTCAGTCGACTTCACTTTTCTTTGTAGACTTTATCATTATTAACTATATTGTATACTTATTTGTTTATTGCTTTGCTATCTATCTTTTGTGGTCTATCACTCCCCCTAGAATGTAACACCATATCAGCAAGAACTCTGTTTCATTTACTGTTGATTCCTTAGCATGTAGAATAGACATTGGCACATGCTAACCATTGAATAAACATTGGCTGTTAAAAATAAAAATAATAATACCACATCTAAGGTTCTTGACAATTTGAGTAATTATATCTATTAATTAATACAAGAATTTTACCAATCAATCTCTTTTATCCTAAAGCATTCTTTCCCCTTGTACATTTTCTTCATCAAAAAAAAAATTAGCTCTAGGTCTTAAATATTTCTTCTTCACATTTATTTTTGTGAACTTTGTTGTTGTTATGTACCATCAAGCTGGTTCCAACTCATAGTGACCTTATGTGTAACAGAACAAAATTTTATACAACTCCAAGTAGGAGCTTTAGGGAAAACACATTTGTAAAGTTTAAAAGTGAAAAATAAAAATAAACAGAAACCAATACTTCCAAGTTTATCCATGGACAAAAAGGAAAGAGAGAAAATATAAGAAAGATACATCACCATAAGATGTTTTCACTAAAGGTCAGAGTTTGCATAATGTACAAATTTTAGCTTAAACTTTCATTATCAGCACTTGTAGCCTCTATTTATTGATTGTAAAAAACTTAAAGTACTCTAAAAATGTGATTATTTCATTCATTTAAGTAGGGTTTTTCACAAAAGCAACTGTCAAAGGGAAGGCATAAGAAATCTGTCCTCTAACTTAGGGCTTGTTGTTTTAGTTGCTTTCAAGTACACAAGCTTCCACTGACGATGGGTGATGGTGGCTGC